ATACTTTAGTCATTTCCATGAGTACAAATCTTTGTTTAATGCTATATGCATATAATGCTATTCTAGGGAATTGTGTGCTTCTAATTTTATACCAATAGTTTGAACAGGACCCTTTTCTATTCTAACACAACAATGCCTCTGTGTATAAGGCAAGGTTAAAAAGAAGAAGAAAAAAGATTGATCGAGTCAGTGTGGAAGAACTTCTGGTCTGCAGAAAGCCAAGTCCTAATCGCAGCTGAACACCTCTGCTGTGACTTTAAATGCAGACCTTGAGCCAAAAACTCATCACCAAACACCTGTGACTTGTTCATACATATGGACAAAAGTATTGGGACGCCCCCTTCTCTAGAACAGAAAAAGGCACTTCCAAAACTGTGGCATCAAAGATGGAAACATAATTCATGTATTTAAAAATTGTATTTCCATCTTTGTTGCCACAGTTTTGGAAGTGTCTAAATGATTGTACACATATACAGTATATGTACTAGTCATTGGTGTTTGGCGATGAGTTTTTTTTTTAGTTTTCCCAATACTCCCAATACTTTGGGCAATATATTCTGTAGGTTTGACTGTACTTGTAAAGTACAAAAATATCCTCAATAGCATAATGAAACCTACAGAAGCTTATGACGGTGTTTTAGTGTCACATAAAAAATGAATAAATCAAAGATCACGAGATATTAAAGCTGTAATATTTTGAGAATAAAGTCGTGGTAATTCCGCGATTAAAGTATATTTCGTGTACAAGTGACAGCGGGAGAAATCCTGCGAGCATATCTGCGGGTTTATTAGCAGAAACCGTACCGTGTGTCGTGTTACTCAGTGACAGTATGCTTGGAAATAATATTTCACGTCTTTAGTCTCTTCATCAAGTGTAGTGCGCCAGCCACCCAATAACTGCAGTAAACGTTGTGTTTTGTTACTTTTAGTATAAAACAAAGTCAGCTTTTAAATTCTGTAACATGAATCAGTCGAAGGACGTCAATAAAACAGCTTGAGAAGTCACGCCGAGTTACATTTACCTCCGAAAAGACAGCAATATTTAACATTATATAACAAAAACTTTGCCAACATTTCTTTTATTTCTCATAAATCAGTCAGTTAACCGAGTTGGAGCTGCTTCAAACTTTAAAACGATTTTATTAATCAAGAATGAAAGATTAACTTAATATAGCCTGTGCAATATAGCCATTGACTTTATTCTCAAAATATTACAACGATTAATCTCATAATCCTAGATTTAAATTTTTTTTTACGTAGCACTGAAACGTCGTCGTAGAACCCTGTTTCCACCACTTAATAAAAATATTTAAAAAGGTAACTGCGACTTTTTATCTCACAATTGCGAGTTTATATCTCGTGAATCTGACATCTTTTCTCAGAATTGTAAGATGTAAAGTCACGATTGCGAGTTATAAAGTTCTGAGGGAAAAACAACTGTGACTTCATATCTCACAATTCTGCGAAGAGAAGTCAGAACTGAGAGATGTAAACTTGCACTTGCGAGGAAACAAGTCAGAATTGTAAGATTAAAAAGTCGCAATGACCTTTTCTATTTTTTATTCGGTGGAAAAAAAATTATTTTCTCTCTTCAGAAACCATCCTCGGCCACAGAAAATATCATTAACCTAATATAAACAGCTCTGAATGTGTGGTGTACTCTGCATTTGTACTTGGAGTATACGAGGTATCCATGTTCCTATAAAACGGAGAAACACACTTGCCTCTTTGACGAAAGGAAACATGTGCATAGCTCTTTCACAAGAGACGAGGCATCTCTGTGATAAAGTCACATTAGCTGCCACCGCTGGGGAAGCAGCACTGGCACACACACACACACACATACACACACACACACATTTTCCTTGATACTTTTGAGTTTTTGTTTTATAGTGCATCGGTAAATACTTCACTGTGGACTAACACTTTTGGCACTGTAAATAAATTACACCATGCACGAAAGTGCTGTTGCGAGTGAGCCATCTTTTTTTTAACATCTTTTACGGACACTTGTTACGTCCCCAAGCGAGCTGGTGGTGCTCGCTTTATCACAATCTCTGTGTTTTACATCAGAAAATAGCACTGTTTTATGAGGTTTGGACACGATATCTGGTCTGTTTGGAACCTCATCTTCGTTCTATTATATTAAAAGGAATATTGGTATTGTATTGTAATTCTCTGGACATTGAACATTCTTTTATTCTTTTTGGACAAAAAAAAAAAAGTGTTATTTTTTCATTTACTTAGGCACAATATGTACGATTTTTTTATTAAAATATCCAAAAACCACTAGAACAGTGTTATATATTTTGCTGACTTGTGTACTTACATTATCCCAAATGTTTGGAAGAATGTTTAAATCCAGAAAAATAATCAATTTTAACTAGTGACACGGAGCGTGTTCATAGTGTCGCCTGCTAATGACGTCATAACCCCTCGATTTCCGGTTTTGTTTTACACAATTGTATTAAAGTTTTCATGTTTTGTATACGAATCTGAGCTATTTTTATTGTGTGTGTGTGTGTTTGTTTTCTTTCAAGTATGGTTCCTTGTTATGTTTGTGTTATAATTAAGATTCAATAAACAATTATAGAAAATAAATAAATATATAATATAAAAACAATGGAAGTCCTATATACTAATATAGTAGACTACTAATATAGTCAAATAAACGTGTGTGTGTGAATGCATGATCTTGTTTGTGACAATCTGTTTGTTTTCTCATAGGAAGACCAAGAGGAAATAAAGAGCAGAAAAACAACAGAATCCCGTCCATAACAGCACCTGACCTGCAGTCCGACACATAAAACACACACACACACAACACTCACTCACTCACTCACTCACACTCACTCACTCATTCACACACACACACACACTCACTCACTCTCTCACTCACACTCACTCACACTCTCACACTCACTCACTCACTCTCTCACACACACACTCACTCTCACACACACACACACGCACTCACACACTCACTCACACTCACACACACACTCACTCACTCACTCTCACACACTCACTCACACACACACACACTCACTCACTCTCTCACTCACACTCACTCACACTCTCACACTCACTCACTCACTCTCTCACACACACACTCACTCTCACACACACACACACGCACTCACACACTCACTCACACTCACACACACACTCACTCACTCACTCTCACACACTCACTCACACACACACACACTCACTCACTCTCTCACTCACACTCACTCACACTCTCACACTCACTCACTCACTCTCTCACACACACACTCACTCTCACACACACACACACGCACTCACACACTCACTCACACTCACACACACACTCACTCACTCACTCTCACACACTCACTCACACACACACACACTCACTCACTCTCTCACTCACACTCACTCACACTCTCACACTCACTCACTCACTCTCTCACACACACACTCACTCTCACACACACACACACGCACTCACACACTCACTCACACTCACACACACACTCACTCACTCACTCTCACACACTCACTCACACACACACACACTCACTCACTCTCTCACTCACACTCACTCACACTCTCACACTCACTCACTCACTCTCTCACACACACACTCACTCTCACACACACACACACGCACTCACACACTCACTCACACTCACACACACACTCACTCACTCACTCTCACACACTCACTCACACACACACACACTCACTCACTCTCTCACTCACACTCACTCACACTCTCACACTCACTCACTCACTCTCTCACACACACACTCACTCTCACACACACACACACGCACTCACACACTCACTCACACTCACACACACACTCACTCACTCACTCTCACACACTCACTCACACACACACACACTCACTCACTCTCTCACACACACACGCACGCACGCACTCACTCACTCTCTCACACACACACACACGCACTCACACACTCACTCACACTCACACACACACACACTAATGTTAGCGGTGATCTGTGTGTGTGAGCGTCTGAGCACATGAACAGTGTTTAACAGTGATATGCTATTGTTCTGTTTTTATTCATTGTTTTCAAACGCTGGATTGATTTGATCATATTATGATCCGAGAGCTTCAGTTTGGACTTGTTCTTTTGTTCTGCTGGTTTTATTTTGGACTCATTCTGAAACGTGAAGATCAACCATGACTCAGTCAAAAACAGCTGGCGATCTGGAGAACTTTGACTTCAATAAACTTTCAGCTGATCCAAACTTCATCTGCTGCTCGTCATCGAGTTTATGGGTTTCTGTTCTGAATCCAACGGTTCCTCAACAAAGGAACTAAAAGCGTGTGTTTGTGTTGGTGCTGATGTCAAGTCACTTTTATTTGTTTTAAGCAGCTCTCAAAAGCATAAATGAATATACAGTCGCTCTTAAGTGAATATAAACCGTTGCCAAAGGCTGATGTGAGTTTAACATTTCTCACTGGTCACAGATAAGCAGAGATGGAAATTTAATCAGCAGTCATTTAAGAAATATAGGACACAGCTTTCATTTCGATTAGTAACGTCTCAGTATAGCGACAAGACAAGTTCCAGACAGAATTACTGTATCATGATGTCTATCTTTACTGTGGTTGAAATGACTCGTATCAGCAGGGAGCTGCTAGAAACTCATGTGATTCATGAAAACTCCAATGCGTTATTAAAGCCATCATTACAACATGAGCTTAATGACTTGTGTTTTCATATTTTACTGATCAGTGGATTGTGTTCCTGATCAACTGCACATTTCTGCTTTAAACACTCAAACACACGAGTACAGAGACAGTGTTTTACTGTACAGAAGTTTGCTGTCACATACAGGCAGAACAGTATTAATAAAGCTCAGACAAGCACGGATCAAGGTTTAGTGTGAACGACACCAACTCATGAAAGCATGTTGAGATTCAGAGTTTGGACTCCAGACCGTCGACATGAGTGCTCTCACGCTCGCCATCATCTACAAACAGACAATCAAATCAAGTGATCATTACTGCTATAAACACACAAACACAGTCTGATAAGAAACTACCTTCAGGAACATCCCAATTTTAGGCAGTTACTACTATACTTTTGAACTTGGCATATTTGACAATACACTAAGGCGCTTATTGCACCATCAGCCCATTTCACAGCAAATGTTCTCCACCTGCTTTGAGAGTGTATTAAATTTGACATAAGTGCTTCATACTAGGGCTATTGCTCTAATAAAATACAAATTTTGGGCAGCTTTTACTTTACCAGTCTTATTTTATGGACCCTTAAACTTGGCACATTTGACAATACATGGGTGATTATTGCACTGTCAGCCCAATTCGCTATCACTTTTCTCTGAAGTCTTTGATGGTGTGTTAAAGTGCATATAAGAACTTCATACTAAGGCTACTGCTCTAACAAAATCCACATTTTGGCCAGTTTTTACCTAACCACTTTTATTTTATGGACCCTTAAACTTGGCATGTTTCACAATACATGGGTGATTATTGCACTGTCAGCCCAATTTGCTATCACTTTTCTCAGAAATATCTGATGTTGTATTAAAGCAAACAGAAGAGCTATATACTAGGGCTATGGGTCTAATTAAATACAAATGTTGGCTAGTTTTTACATTAGCAATCTTATTTTATCAACCCTTAAATTTGGCATATTTAACAATACACAGGCGATTATTGCACCATCTGCCCAATTCACTTCATATTAGTACTACTGGTCTAACTAAATCCAAATTTTGGGCAGTTTTAACACTACTAGTCTTATTTTATGGACCCTTGAACCTAGCATATTTGACAATACACAGGCAATTATTGCACCATTAGTCAAATTCACTATCACTTTTCTCGGATCTGTTTGATAGTGTATTAAAGCAGACATAAGGGCTTCATACTAGGGCTACTGCACTAATGAAATCCAAATTTTGGGCAGTTTGTACTATATTAATCTTGTTTTATGACCCTTGAATTTGCCATATTTGACAATACACAGGCACTTACTGCACCATCAGACCAATTAGTGACATTTCTCTGCCTCCTTTCAGGATGTGTTAAAGCAGACTTAAAGGATTCATACTTTTATCATGAAACAACAGACGTGTGGCAAGTGCTCATATTTGATGTGTGTGTGTGTGCTTCTGAGTGTGTGTGTGTGAGTGTGTTTCTGAGTGTGTGTGTGTGTGTGTATATGTGTGTTTCTGAGTGTGTGTGTGTGTGTGTTTCTGAGTGTGTGAGTGAGTGAGTGAGTGAGTGAGTGAGTGTGTGTGTGTGTGTGTGTGTGTTTCTGTGTGTGTGTGTGTGGGTGTGTGTGTGTGTGTCTGAGTGTGAGTCCCGTATCTGCCTTGTTGTCTCTACATTAAACATCCTTATTTGAAT